CTGAGGCAGATTTCTGTCCCAACAAATGTGGTGAGTCCAGATTAGGGAAGCTGGTTTTCTATCCCCCATTCTGGCCCCGGTTAATACCCAGCCTTTCTCCTCCTGCTTTGGGTCTCGATGGTTCTTCCTTCCCCACGTCTGAGAGGTTCCTGGTCCCCAGTGGCCCTTCTGCACAGCGGATTTCCTGGACAGCGGGTCCTATTCCATGTGGGCTCCTCGCTGAGCCGGGTTAGATCCCTCTTCCGGCAGGTCTGCCTTCTAGCCCCGCCCCTTGGGCTGACCTCTCGGGATTAGGCGCTGGGCCCCGCCCCAGCCCTTGACCCTGCTCTCTCTTTTTAGTCTTTTCTATCAGGATAAATGCAACCTTGATCCTGCCCCTTCAGGTATGATGTTGCAGCCTCTGATCTGGTGCAGTAATTGTAAAAAGCAGCTTCACGTTTGTCGAAAGTCCACAGATTGCGGTGGTGAGAGAGCTGAGCCAGCTGGAGGGGGTGGGGGGTTGGCGCAAGAGGGGCGGAGCGAGAGGAGAGCCGGGATCTAGAGAGGCCAAAGAAAGGAGCCGGCCCACCAGAAAAGTGGGGGCCAAGAACAAGTGCGAGGGAGTTGAGGGAGAACCAAGATGCATCCCACCGTAACCGCCTGTCCCCAGTGCGCCAAATCAACGTCCACGAAAAGGAAGACTTGCTCCTGGACTGTGAGCTCAACTGGCATAAATTATCTCAAGGCCTGACCTATTACAGCTTTTACAGGGTGGGCCCTTCAACCCCATCAACCCCAAGTCCATTAGGCTTGGTTGAGCGCCCACCCCGGTATCCACAAGCTTGTTCCCACAATCCCCATGACCCATGACCTACCAGGTTTGACTTCTACGGGTCCCCGGGGACCCCATGCCCTTACCAGTGACCCTAGACTCCCATCTCCCCCACTGAGATCCCGTGATGCCCTCACACCTGTACTTCCCCAAACCCTGAACTCCCCAGGCCTCTGTGACCCCTTGAGCTTGGGTCTAGGTTTGGGGGAGCAATTCTGAGACGTTGGTGTACAAGGGGAAACAGCCCACCCTGACCAAGCCCCTGGTGGGGCCAGAGGATGCAGGTGACTACCGCTGTGAGTTGGGCACTGTGAGATCCCTCCCAGCCACGGTCATCCATTTTAAGGTCACAGGTCAGAGCTGGGGAGTCGACGGAAGTGTGGGAATCAGGGTCCTGGGGTTAGGGGACAGTCAGCTTGGGGCATGGCCTATGGGGCAAAACTTCCTGTCGGGGTGTCATTTCAGGCCACGGGGGTGTGGCCACCCGCCACGGTGGCCGGGGTCCAGGCAGACAGGGTCGCGATTGTCTCTTCCAAGGCCCGGGTCTTGGGGGAAGGTTGGAGGGGAGGGAGCTTGCCCGGGCCACGGGGGACCTTGGTGGCCTCCCAAGGCTGCTCTTTCTCTCTCCTCTATCAGTGTTGCCTCAAAGAATCATTGAGGAGACACCGACATCAAACTTTGAAACCGAGGAGCAGCTGTCCCCAACCCTCCAGCCTTCAGAGTACCCTAAGCCCGAGAAGGTGCTGAGAAGCGTTCTGGTAGGGCTGCTGATCTGGGGCTTTGTGGTGCTGATCATCAGCTTTGTCACCGCGTGAGCCAACCCTGATGAAGGCGGGGCACGAACAGAGGGACGGGGTCTCCAAATCCCAATGCGGGAGGGGGTCCTTTAAGGGAGAGGCCTTAGAAAATGGTAGTGATGATCCAGCCTGGGTCATTGCTGGAATAAGACCAAATATAGGGAGGCGAGGAGGGCTATCCCTCAAGACCTAACCTGGTTCCACTATCATCCCCCGCCCTCCCCCAGCGTACTTTGCTTTCTGCCTGGGAACGTGATGGATTCCATAAAGTCCTGGTTCCTCACTAACAAAGTAGCCGCCCTGCAGAGCCAGGTTCCGAAGGCACCGAAAGAAAACGACACAGCACCAAGTCACAAATAAAGATTTATCTGGTTGCCTAAATACCGGATTCATTTCCTCGGGTCTGATCCTCATTTTGGCTTTCCGAGAGGAGAGGCCTGGGGCTCGCCTCCTGTCCTAGAAGGAGAGCCCGGGAACCCGGGTCCCTTGGTCATGGCAGGGCCCCCTGGCTGAGATGTAATTCCCCAATCGAGGAGTGGGGAAGGGCCAGCCCTACCCAGATCTCCTCCCCCAGCCTCGCCCCCTCACAGGACGCCCCCTCCCCGCTCTTCCAGCCAGAGTTTCCTCTGGCCTTTTCCTGTCCCCCAGCCAGTGCTGGGAGCCAGGGCAGAGGGGTCAAGAACCAACCCGGGTCAACGAAGACAGGGCGCCGAGGTGCTGTTGGGACCCGAAGCAGAGCAAGAACCGCGGGACCAGGGGTCCACACCCCTCCTGCATCAGACCCAAGAGCCGGTCCCCAGCCATCTTCCACGCCAGTTCCCAGGAGTTAAGCTCCCATCCGTCTCCTCCACCCAGACTCCTTACTCTGACCCCAGCCCCCTCCACCCCAACGCGACCACACAAGGGCCTCATCTGGGAGGATGAGATGAAAGTTCTAGTCAGAGAGGGGTCGGTCTGCGAGATCCTGGAACAATAGGCGGGGCCTCCCTTTGTTGCCGTCCAATCAGACTCAGAGTTGGGTTTGTGGGCGGGGCCAAGGAAACCGGCCCAGAGTGTCTCTAGAGAAGTCGGCGCCCCAAGGA